AAAAATTGTATACTATCTTGAAATTTTAACAATTTCAATCTAATAAGAAACAATATCGGGTCGTTTTGAAGATTTTATATCGAATTCTTTGAACAAAAAATAACACAATTTCTTGTTAAATATGTTGTATCTTTTAAATTAATATATTTCTTATTTTTATTTATTATCTTCAATATATTTGGTTTTGATATATTTTAGAAAACCTGTTCAAATAATTATTAAAATTTGAATCCCGATGATATTTATGTGATTTTTTATAATTTAAAGATATATATATATATTGTTTAGATTTGTTATTGAGATCTTTTTAGTGTCTATTTTTTTGTTGCCTTTGTTTGTTTGCAAAGTGTATCATAATTAAGGTGAAGTTACAAAAAGATCTGTAAAATATAATATCGTTTACATATTGATTATAGAATCTGTAGATTATTTTGAAAAACAATATGTAAATTATATGTTTAATTGTAATAGTTTAAAAATTCCTGAAAACAATATTCATATCGATATTAAATTTATTTTGGAGTTTCAAATTTTATAAATATTTGAAATTAATAAGAAAATGACAAAATTATGTTTAACGTTTTATATATATTTATAATGTTTAAATTTCTTGTAAAATTAAAATTTATAATTTTCAAAACTTCATAAGTTTTAAAATTATAAATATTTTTAAAAATATTTAAAGCTAAACTTGATAAAAAGTTTGTAAAATTATAATATTTAACTTTTGATAAAGAAAAGTAAAAATATTTATAATTTCTGAAACTTTTTAAAGTTTCTATTCTTTAAAATAAAGAAGCCGAGTAAGCCGGATAACTACTTTAATTTTGGACGCCTGATAAATCAAGCTTCCTGCTTATTCGTAACTGGAATCATTTTGGTCATTTTTATAGTATGGCTCTGAACCAATGCCCAATTATTTTAAGCGATGTGAGACATTGTACACATGTTATTTCTTCATCGATTGAATAATATATGTTCGTTTTAAGAAATTTAAATTACATCATATACATAAAAATATAATATTTTATTAAATATTTATATTTTATATAAATTCAAAATAAATTAAATATAAGATCAAATAAATTTGATAGAACAATCATATATTTATGTTTAAATTAGGTAAAGATGTTTTAGAAAATTAGTTAAGGTAAATAACAAATATGGTTAGTTTAAAGTTATTATATATATTAAATTTGGTAATTAAATTAATTTCATTTTTATTTGTTTTTTAGAAAATGGTGATAAAAACCAATTATGGAAGATCCGATTGAAGATTTTCGGGTCAAAATCAAATAAAAAATCCGACCCAATTGAATTCCTTAAAATGTAATTCAAAAATGTTAAGTAGATTTTATCCAATTTTGAACGTGGGGTGAAAAGTGAAATTGATGTTACGGTATATAGTAGAATTAGTAGTGGTTGGTTTGACGGCTTATTAAATCATGTATGATCACTGTATATTCATAAATAAAATCTAGTATTTACAGGTTTAAAAATCTTCTTATTATTAAAAGGGAAGTACAAATTGAATTTTTGTCTAATTTGACCTCAATTTTGATTTCAATTTTGGATTTTGTTCTTTGCTATTCAAAATCATTAAGGGTAATTTGGTCTTAACAATCTCCTAAACTTTATATGATCCGATTCAATCTAAACCGTTCAATAAAGTAATTCCCTTCAATCTAAACCGTTCAACAAAAATAAGTAAATAACAACCAAAAAAAATTAAAAACATTTTAACACATTCCTCTTATCACTAAATAAGTCCAAAAAACAAATCCCAATTATTATTTCGTTATGTTTGATTAAATAATTTATATTATAAGTTTAGGATATCAAATTTATTCAAAATATTTAATATAAGAATTAAATAAACCGATTGTCCGTGGTAAACCGCGGATTAAATCCTAGTTAGTATTAATTTAGTTAGCATAAGAAATATAACAAAAACTAGGTAAAATTTACTAATAATAATTTAATAACAATCTTAATAAATTAGGTTGTGTTTTTTAATCGCAACTTTCCGTAAAAAATATTGACGGTTATTTTTCTCGTTCATGTCTTTTCGTCAAAACTTTCCGTTAACATTGACGATTATTTTTCCGTTAGTGTCTTTTTATCGCAACTTTTCATTTGCATTTTTTCATTATAATTTTTATTAACATCGAAAGTTATTTTTTCCTTTAGTATCTTTTTATCACAGCTTTTTATAAAAATATTGACGGTTATTTTTTCTCACTTGTATCTTTTATTGCAACTCTCTTATATTGCAATTTTCCATGAAATTATTGACACTTCTTTTTTTCGTTCGTACCTTTTCATCGTAACTTTCCGTTAATATCAAAGGTTGTTTATTTCGTTAGTGTTTTTTTATCGAAACTTTTTGTTAGTATTTTTTTATCGTAACCTTCCGTTAATATTGAAAGTTTTTTTTTTCTTTTGAATCTTTCATCGTGACTTTCTGTTAACATCGATGGTTATTTTATTTGTTAGTATCTTTTTATCGTAATTTTTTTTGTAAAAATATTGACGTTTTTCTTGATTGTATCTTTTTATCGCAATTTTTCGTTAAAATATCGATGGTTACTTTTTTCGTTCAAGTCTTTTCATCATAATTTTTCGTTAACTATTGACGGTTATTTTTTCCATTAGTATTTTTTATCGTAACTTTTTGTTTGTGAATTTTGATCATAACTTTTTGTTAACATCAACAGTTATTTGATCATTTAGTGTCGTTTATCGCTATTTTCCTAAAAATATTGACAATTATTTTTTCTTGGTTGTCTCTTTACCGCAACTTTCTGTTATGATATTGATGGTTATTTTTGGTAGTATCTTTTAATCTCAACTTTCTACTAAAAATTGACGGTTATCTTTTTTCGTTTGTGTTTTCCATCGTAATTTTCTGTTAACATTAATGGGGGTTTTTCGTTAGTGTTTTTATCGCAATTTCTAGTTTGTGTATTTTCATCGTAACTTTGTTTAAAATCGACGGTAATTTAATCTGTTTGTGTCTTTGATCAAAAAATTTCATAAAATATTGACGGTTATTTTCCTAGGTTGTCTCATTATTGCAACTTTACGTTATAATATTGACAATTAATTTTTTATTATCTTTTTATCGCAACTTTCCATTAAATAATTGATGATTACTTCTTTTGTTCGTGTTTTTCATTCTAATTTTTTGTTAATATTACAGGTTATTTTTCCGTTTGTGTTTTTCTATCGCAACTTTTCGTAAAAATATTGACGGTTTTTTTTATCGCAACTTTTCGTAAACATATTGACAGTTATTTTTTCTCGGTTGTATCTCTTCATTATAACTTTCCGTTATAATATTGACGGTTATCTTTTTTGGTTGAGTCTTTTCATCGCAACTTTTCGTTAAAATATTAATAGTTACTTTTTTCGTTCGTGTCTTTTTATCGTTACTTTCTGCTAACCTATTGACGGTTATTTGTTCCAGTTGTGTTTTTAGCGTAACTTTTCATTAAAATATTGATAGTTACTTTTTATCGTAACTTTCCATTAGCATTGACAGTTAATTTTCCTCGGTTGTGTCTTTTATCGTAAACTTCGGTAAAAGTATTTACGTTTATTTTTTCCGGTTAGTTATATGTATACTTTTAAATAACTACTAAAATTTATAATATGCATCATTTTGAGTTTGATTGGTTTGATAGAAATTATTATATAAACAAATTTATAATATTTTCCCATGCGATATCGCGGAGGATCTGAGTCCTAGTATTTATAGAAGTAATATACATTACATAAAAAAAGGAATGTAGTTATTAGTATTTACCAAACGAATTTAAAAATGAAATTAAAATTTAGATTAAATATGGAGATATGAAAACGAAATATGATAGCTTTAACCGATAGACTACAATTACAAACTTAGGAAATTCGGGGCGATATCTCAACGATACTCCGTGAACACACAAGAGTGCAAAAAAATTATCAGTAAAATAATTAATTTTCCAGGATGGCGAGTTAGTTGGATCGTTTTTGTTTGTTTATGTCATGTGCATAAAAGATATTGTTAAAATGGTGGAGATTTTCTTTTAGAAAAAATGTATTACCCTTTATAGAGATATCATTAAGCCTCAAAAGATAACGAAGAGTTACTTGCCTAAGTATTGGTCAATATTTGATAAGGATTGAGTTACAATTCTCCTTCCTTAATTTCCGATACACCGTTTTACACGAGATAGAGCCACCGGCACATCACCGATTCATAACTTTCACTCACTCTAGCGACACATACGTCACTGAACAAACATCAAACAATGCATAAAGCCTAACCAAATGAGAAACTAGTCTTATATACAAGTCATTATTCACACGTGCAAACATTAGTTTCTTCAAGCTTCTTCTCTCACACGTGTGGCTTCCTCTGCTCTATTGTTTCTTGTAGACACATTCAGTGGCTTATCAATTAATGACCGGATAATTTTTGGGTTAGGTACGGTAGGTTGGATTACTTGAGGCCATATATATGACCACTATACGGTGAGCGTCCTCCATATCGAGTAATGAGGTAACACATCTAAGCTAATTATCAAGTTGTCTAACTTTTGTAAGATTGTATCTAACTATCTAAGCACCACTAAGTAATTCACATATAAATTACACATATAAGACCAAATTTAAATGATGAGTTTAGCCCGAACGTATACTTTTACACTAGCATAAGAGTGGTTTACATTAAAAAAAAAATGGGCATAGTATTTGGACTTGATGGAACTTATTATATAAAACTGTATAACAAAAAGAAAACGCATAAAGAAACAAACAAGTCTACTTTTATCTTTCAGTCCCACGCTACTAAGCAGGTTCACATATCTATCACTCACTTTGTATTATATATAAATAGAGTGGTCCTCTTGAGTTTCTTCTATATGCTAGTTGCTCAACTAATATCTCTCTCTCTATCTCTCAACAATTCTCTTAAGTTTAATTAGTTTTCAGAAGAAGGAGAAGATGAAGATCCTGGTCATACTTTTCCACAGCTTTCTTGAACTTTCTTTTTCATTTCCATTGTTTTTTTCTTAAACAAAAGTAAGAAGAAAAAAAACTTTAAGATTAAGCATTTTGGAAGCTCAAGAAAGCTGTGGGAAAACATGACAATTCAGGGTTTTACTCCATTGATTCACTTGTCAAGATTCTTCTTTCCAAAGATATTGATTTGAAGGTATGGTTACATAAACCCTTTATTCCTAAATTGAAGACACAGGATAACTCTTTAGATCCATAATTATGGTCAGAATTATGGATCTAAAGAGTTATTGTGATTATAATCACTAAAGTACCGAAGACATTAGGATGGTAATCATGCTATAGTTAAATCTATATCTTTAAATAGGTATGTTGAGTTTTGTCGTCGAAAGTAAATAAAAGTTTACTTCTCATTCCCCTTAATCCCGTATCAATGAAGGCTACATATGATAATTTGGTTAATTGTGATAGTTTCTTACTAAATCTTCAAGGTTTTGTTTTAGATGTTCTTATTATATTGGTACTCTGTGAAAGGTTTCTAAATGAAAATGAGGAACGAAGTTTCTGTGAGTTTCCACTTTCCAGTTCTACATGAGAAAATAAGGTTTATATGCTGATCTTTTCTTACATTTTGGTTGGAAAAAGATTTATGTGATGTCACTCTAACCACTCCACCTCAGGCGCGATTTACTCATACGTTTTGTGAATGAATATGGACATATTATTTTGGGGTTATATGTATGTATCCCATGTGATATATATATATATCTACATGCCTCCTTCATTTACATATATATTAGTATACAAGTTGTGGTCTCTATGTCTTTATTCACATGTGACACTTGCACATATCATCCAAATTGTGTTTATATGCATGTGTGATCATATAATTGTACATATATATACATACATAAGAGTACATATGCATGCAGAACATATTTACATACATAGAGATTGTATGACATGCACATGTGCATGTCCTGAAGAGAAGGAATTGTCAGTAATTTAACTTGGAGTTGGACTTGTCTTCCTCTGTCGATTCCTTTTTCTCTTTTTCATATCAAATCAACATACTGTTTCCGTTTCTCGTAAGTGCTTGGTTTTCCTAATCAGTTTCACATATATGTCATTTTGATGAAAATAAAATAATACGGCGCATTGTATATTGAAATGGTAATAAAATTTGACAGATATACCGTACGTCTTCTTCTTCATTTGTCAATTAAATCTTCCTTTCATTAATCTGATTATCAATTATTCATATTATGTTGATAAAACAAAACAAAAAACTATACATTAACAAAAGGATTATTAGTGCAAAAAATAAATGCTTAAGCACCAGTCGATCTATTTGAAACTCCTCCACTATCTTACTAATGATATATTCTTACTAATGATATATTCTTACAAAAGGATTATGCACCAGTCGATCTATTTGAAACTCCTCCACTATCTTACTAATGATATATTCTTTTCAAATAATGGAATTTTAATGAAAAAAATCAATAATTTAAGTTTTGGTCCATCCATTTTTAATCTTTCAACTAAATTATTTAATGAATTTTCAATATTTCATCAAGTTGAAACAACATAGGTTCATTAATGATTTAGTTAAAGAGTTAAGAATAGATCGGTCGATACTTGAAGAGTTTTTTTCATTAATATCATTAAATTTTATAAAGCTAAAATATTATCTATATATGTCAATGCTAGCTACTCCAATTCGAAAATAAATTTCAACATTCCATTAGTTTATGTATAAATTTTATTGTTTTATATAGATTAATATTTTAATCACAAAATATGTGGTCCAAGCTACAGTTTATGCGATTTGGAGAGAAAAAAATAGTAGAAGACATGGAGAAAATCCGCAAACTAGCTATTCAGCGCATTATAGAATGGGTGGACAAACAAATAAGAAACCAGATTTCAACAATCCGACTCGAGGGAGAAAGGCGGTACACTGACGCCTACCAACTCTAATTTCAAGTCATGACTTAACATATGTTTTTTGTACTTATCTCAAACAAACGATGCACTAGTTGTAAAAACGTATTTTTTTATATATATAATTTAACATTCGATTAAAGAAAAAAAAAAAGAAAAAAAGAATTAACTACTGTATGAAACATCTAAGACAAATTATGAATTTCTAACAAGAGGCTCAAATCGTTCGTAACTGTATTATCCAATTCTTTGGTAACGTAGACAAAAGTCTCTGTATATATTTAATTTAACTTTACATCGTACTAGATCGATCCCGAGATTGTTTCTTCTTACACATGTGAGTTAAAAGGAATCCTGGTAATAACTGATGAGAAATGAATATTGTATAGTGAAAACCAATTATTCAAAATAGTAAAAACTGTTGTCCTTTTGATTTATTTATGATAAAAACAGATCTGTGGATGATTGCGTTGTTGTGGGTCTTGTTTGTTTTCCACTGATTCCAAAACCTTTTGACGTGAAAATAATTTGATTGGCTAATAAAATGGGATATATGAGAGAGAGAGAAAATGGCCAACGCTTTGAAAGTGAAGCTTTTGTCAATTTATGATCAGAAAAGGAACCTATTGATTCCCATCTCCTTCTAGTATCAATGTAGCAATCACTTGTTTTTGGAGATTGAGAGGTCGCAACTCGCAAGTGCCTATATTTGTAACACAATTTGGATCGAATCTATAAAAACTTGAGAGATTATACACAAAATATTTCAAGATTCACATAGATATATTATGATATCTTAAAGTTTTAATACAATAAAGTGCACAATAAATATAACATATCGAATTTGTACATAACCCAACAAATATATGAGCCAGGCATGATGCTGTTATATGTTTCATTTATAGAATTATTTGACTTTGGTATAACAAATATAAATATAGATAAGATAGAATTATATCTTGGAAAATATAAAATAAAATATTAAAAATAACTTGATCCGTGTTAGTTGTATGTATATATCAAAACAACTTTTTACAATACAAAGAAAAATTCACAAGATTTTCTTTATCTTTAATTTCTCATAAATGTAAAATGGATACTTTGACACAAATTTTTTATGCCGAACCGCATCATATCACATATATCATGAATTTTTTATCTTCAGGAATGGTTTTTTTGAGCAGCGGCGGAGGTAGTGCATTGGAAGGTGGTTCAATTGATCCCCATAAAAAAAATTCAATTTTTAATTGCTAGCTAAATTTTATAATAATTACTAGCTGATTTTGTCTTAGATTTCTATAATGACCCCATAGATAGTGATCCAACCATGCTTTTGACCCATGCATGTTCATTTCTCATTTAACTTTAATTATGTTTTTCATCTTTATTTCTTTTTGTTTTGTTCAAAATAACTAAAACTTTCTAATTTTTTCTTATATATTTATTTTTTTCTTCTCTTTTTGACATATCATAATTTATTTATTTTGCTACCTTGTAAAAATTTCCGTAACATATATTTTTTTGAAAACATTCTAGATAAACACAATATATTATACATTTTGCTTAAAATATTGAGACAAAAAGTACTTAATACGACTGTAAATATCTTTTATTTGGAAAGTGAAGCATTTTGAAAACTACAAAATATATTTGATAATAAGAAATAATAGGTGATTTTGTTTGGTTTTTGTTTTGTCTTAGGTAACAAATTTTATATATTCTTAAACATTTACACGTATCATTTAATATTATAACTAAGTAAATATATATATATATATGACTCTCGTAAATAAAACCTCTGGTTCCGCCACTGCTTTTGAGTTCTAATTAATATCGGTTGACAAAAAAAAATTTTAATACAAAAAACTTCATATAAAATATATGTGAAAAGTTTTATCTCTCTGTAAACTTTTAGAGAAAAGAGAAAGCTTCGAGTTATATTCGAAGGAGACAACTATATCGTTTTGAAGTTGGTTAAAGGGGATGTACAAAACTTTTGAGTTCACAACAAGATTAGAGAAATCACGTTCTAGGATAAAAAAAAAAACTCTCAGATGTTAAATTTCACTAGACAAGAAGATATAGCAACAAGGTTGTAGATCTTTTGACAAAGGAACCTCTACTTGATCACACAAACTTTGTATCATACTTACATTCCTGGTTTCATTGTAAACATCCTCCATGAGGATAGGTTTTCATATTAATCGAAGCCAGCTGTTAAAAAACAAAAAATGGCCGGATGTTATCATGTCCCGATTTAGTCGGACTTTCGTCCAACATCTCCAGTTTCTATAGTGGTGGTAGGCCTTACGTCATGTAATAGGACTTGGATTTAAAACCAAACCAAACCAAACCAAGATTTTGGTTGTTCGGTTCGGTTTCAGTTATAGTGGTTAAACCGACCATCAGCTTTTAAAATTAAAATTGGTTATTTGTTATTTAGGTTCGGTTTGCCTGAACCAAACGGTTGATTAAAAAAAATATAACCCTAATAATACTCGTTAGTATAGTACCTAGTCCTAGGACTTCGGTTTTATCGGTTTGGTTATTTTGGAATTTCAGTTTTTCTTTTTTAATTTTTTAATTTTGCCGAAATAACCGAAACAAATAAACGCTTTGATTCGTTTCGATTGTTAACGAATTTGGTTTTTTAGATTTTTGCCGAACTAAAACAAAAATATTATTAAAAAAATGGATAATGTCGGGTGTTTAAGTTCATTCGGTTAATTTTGATAAGTTTAAATAAATTTAGTTAATTCGGATAAGTTGTATATTCAGGAGTCATGACCAATCGGAAAGGAATCCCAAGTTGTGCAAACTTGTTTTGTTCTGTTCTTGTTCTCCTTGATCAATGTCAAATTTGTTCTGTTCATGTTCAAAACTATAACGTTAAGGATGTTTTCAGTTTGTAGTAAGAGTTAAACTGGTCCAAACTCCAAACAGAACTATCTCTTTAAGGATGTTTTCAGTTTAAATTAGACTTGAATTTTTTGTGTTAATGAATTGTCTTAATGTCAATGATGAAACGTCCATAGAGTCTTAACTCCAAAACAGCTTGACAAAAATCAATTAACCGGATGAGCATTATCATTACAACTTACGCATTACAACATTGTAGATTATCACAAATCATCAATATAGGGAAACAATCAATTTAAAAAAGCAAAACCGAATTAACCAAACTT